CTCTCTCTCTCTCCCCCCCAAAAAAAGAAGCCCCCCCTCCAAAAGGTGATAAATAGCAACAGGGTCAGTTTTCTCACAAATTTCAAATATTCCTAACAATATCTGAAATGTTCAACATATGATCATCATATTTTCAACAACATTTCAACAACTTTTCAACAACTTTGCAACAACTTTTCAACAATTGAACAAGTGTTGAACACAGTGTCGCATGTTTATGACATATATTATCAACGTTGAGTTCTTTCACTTTTGGTGGAACACATGACACTACCCCTGCCGAACTGTTTATTGACATGAAACCAACAGTTTAAAAGGGGTGCCCACATTTGATAAACTGCCCAAAAAAAATTTCACAATTTTTCTGTTGTTGGGCTCCACTAGTGCTTGCACTAGCGGTACTAATATTTTCCACCGTCAAGATCTTTGACGACGCCGTTGGCCTTGCGCATCCACTCCCCATATTGGCTTGTGGTTTTCCCTTGGGACACCTTAAGTCCTCGCCACTTTTTCGTACTAGCCCCATTTTTCTGTCCCGTCGGCGGCGCCGTCGATAAAATCCCAAGTTTCGACAATTTTTATTAGGCCCCGTTTAGCCCCCGGCGCCGCTCCGATTGACGTCCCAATTTTTTTATTTGGGACTTCCCTTGTCTCCGGCAGTCCCAATTTATTCTTTCCATGCGCCTCAAGTGTGTCCTTTATTTCCAACTGGGAGACCCCCTCCTTACGGTCACCATCTACCGTCCTACTTCCCTATGCTTGTGGCGCCGTTTTCTAGCCTCTTGGGCATGCAGCGACTCATTTTCTCTTGGCCTAGGCATCCCCACGCAGTCCGTTATTTCTCGGACTGCAGTGGTGCTCATTTTCCTAGTCCCACAGCCCCACAACTTGCCCCCAACTGAAAGAAAATAATGCGCTTCAATTTTTGGGTGCATACAGACTCAATACTGACCCAGGATGCACTTAGAACATGTACCTTTCCTTCCCCATGCACTCCGTTGCAACTCGGACTGCAGTAGGGGCCATTTTTCGAGTCCCACTAGCCCACAACTAGCCTCAAACTGAAAGAAAAGAAAACAGTCAATTCCCAAGTGCATCCGGTCTCCATTTTTGCCCCCGATGCACCTAAAACATGTGTTTGGCCTACCTCATGCAATCCGTTGTATCTCGGTTGCATGAGGACTTGATTTTTCTTGATTTTCTCTGCAAATTCAAGAGAAAATCAAGATAATTTGTAACCGACATATGCCAGAATGAACCTGGTCACAAATGCATCCTTTAGGTGACCGTTTTTTGTTGTTAGTGCCCTTTTG